GAAATGAGATGTGGACCACCAGGTCCTGGGACCACATATGTCCCTAGAACAAAAAAGGAGCTGGAACATTAGGTCTTAACAGAAATCCAGTGATTTAGAGTCACAGATAGAGAGACAACTTCAGTTTAAAGGTCATGCTTCATTACCCAGACCTATAATGTATTTCACTTGAACTCTACAAACTAGCTTAAACAAAAATTAGATGGTACATGTCTTTCCACTTCCTGGATTGGGCTGTTCTGGAGAGAGAAAATTTACAGGGATGAAGGAATAGCATTTATGAGCTCGATGAAGAGCTCATAAAAATGGGAAAGCGCACAAAAAAACCCCTGATAAACACGAACAGTGATATTTCAGGCACAGAAGTCTTTTACCAGGGCTAAAAAAAGACAAAGACTTTCAATGCAGGTTGAGAATAAATTACTCCAAATTTATATTATATTAATCTCTGAAGTTATCTGAAAGGAATGATGGTTAGTACTTGTGAAACAGAGGCAGAATGATCATTAACAATGCGAACATGAACCCCTGTGGGACAGAATGCCCAAACGAGCAAGGTAATTTTTCAGTTTGCTTCATTTTGTGTCCTTGACAGCAGCGGATGAGGAGTCACTGCCATGTTTCTTCTTTAACTCAGTCATCTTTTTATTCTATTATTTTCTACAAGGTTTTGCTACTTCATGAAAGAAGAAAATATTTGGAAAACGTCTCACCTACCATTTGTCACTAAAACTTGGGCACTTCCTCCAAAGCAGCCACTGCAGTTTATGGAGGCAGACATAAACTGGGCCCATTTGCTGACAGGACTTGTGACCCTGCAAGGGACCTACCCAGCCTGTTCCTGAAGGATTGCATCCCATGGAAGGGACCCACTCTGGAGCAATTAATGAAGAACTGGAGCCTGTGGGAAGGACTCACACTGGAGAAGTTTGTGGAGAACTGTCTCCCGGGAGAGGGACCACAGGCTGAAGCAGGGGAAGAGTGAGAGGAGCCTCCACCTGAGGCGGAAGGAGCAGCAGAGAAAACATGTGATGAACTGACCACAGCTCCCATTCCCTGTCCCCATGTGCCACTGGTAGGAAGGAGGTAGAGAAAATTTGAAGTGAAGTTGAGTGCAGCAAAAAGAGAAGGATGGGAGGAAGGTGTTTTAAGAACTGGGTTTTTATTGATCATTACCCTACTCTGATTTGTTTGGTAGTAAACTAATTTCCCCAAGCTGAGTCTGTTTTGCCCATGGCAGTAATCGGTGAGCGATCTCTCCCTGGTGTTGTCTCAACCCACGAGCCTTTTGTTGTAATTTCTCTCCCCTGCCCAGCTGAGGAGGGGAGTGATAGAACAGCTTTGGTGGGCATCCAGAAAGGGTAACCCACCACAGAGGCCATCAGTAAAGACATAAAAAAAGTTACAAAATTTTATTTTTAATATTACTTGGACCCAAGATTCCATTCCAGCCCACCAGGGTGCCCAGGGGAGGAGAGCAGCTGGGACCCCTGTACACTAAATTGTTGGCTTCCCAACAATAACATACCTAAAGCTGCTGCTTACTGTAGTGTTTAGAGTCACATCTGACACTCTGAAAACATTCACTGCAATTCATTTTGGATCTTAACAGCATTTAATTCCTTCACTGAGGCACTGCAGACAGTGATCTTCTCCATTAGCGCTCTTTTTAGTGCTCATCACAGAACATGCCTCATGCAGCAGCAGGGTGTATGTCTTGTAAGAAGAAGTGCATTTTAAATTGTGCTGGGTCTACATCCAACTTGTTCGCCATATATTTAAAGCTGAAAGCACTCTAGCATTAGCTACAGCTCAAAGCAGACACATAATTTGTTTCACATCGAAGCACACTTGGATATACTCTTACCTCAGACTAGCAGAGATAAATGACTTGCTGGAAGACACCATTTGTAGGACAGAACATTTATTTTGCAGAGACCAGAGATTTTCTAAAGCTTTATTATTGTTGCAATGAATCAGTATTTGCTACTTGATGCAATCTTGGGAGCTCAGCAATACGCTTTTTACGGTTTCAAAAAGAAATGCAGAGTAACTGTTTTATTTCAAAATAGCATCTTTTTTTGTTTGTTTTGAAGGAGGTGCATATGACAGGTCTCAAAATGCATACGAAGTATTTTACCTTCGGAAGGTGACTATTACAGATCAGATTCTGCATAGTACTTTTTTCATTAAAATAGCTGAATGTGAAAAAGAAGAACAAATTGCAGTCAAGTCTTTGAGCCTGCACACAATTATACATGCTGGTATTGTTCTAAAGCGCATGATGGCTTATTGCATTACGTGGGTCTCCACAAATGCAGCTCTACTTACAACATCTGCAGGACTAGAGCCCAAAATAATAGTCTTCTGATTCTATATTTTCAAGCAAAGGTATTTCTAACCTTGTTAACAGACTTTCCTCCCTCTTCTGCATCAGCTGGAGAGTATCCATTCTGTTTCATATAGAGCTAAAAAGCCTGTTATGTTGATAATACTTGGAAGCAGCTTAGTGCATTGGACAGTGTTTACATTTTTCAGACACGTGAGTGACTTAGGAACATCAGCACCTTCAGGACAGCATAGTTAAGCAGAACAGGATCTGAAACTCCAGTACCAGCCAGTATTAATTTTAGTTGGGGAGGGCTTTTGAAAACAGAAAGCTAAGGAAACAATCAGTGCAATTTCAGAAGCACTGTATGCATGCACACACATTCAGATGTGTTTAGTTTATCCCTGACATTCTTGCTTTCTCTATAACGCTGCTAAATTTAAAGAATAAATCTTGATTTCATCCAGTGACTTGCTCCCCTCCTTTCCTTGTTCCCGACTGTAATATCTATTACCCCAAAAGATCTCTCTTCACCTCCATACTGTTAACTGCATCCCATTAGCTGAAAGCACTCTCCTACCTCTAGATGAAGAAAAAAAGGGTAGGAATTCTTGTTTGACTATTACTATAATTTACAAAAGTCCACAGGATGATGGCATGCAGTATGAATTATGCCACCCAAAGCAGAAGAAAAATGCTTCAGTCCCTCCTCACGCAAGATTTGCAGCGGCATCACTGGGACTTTTGCTTCAGCAATAGCTTGTAGAACTGACAGATAAAAAAATTACACAGAATATAAATTGAATTTATGACATAACAAATAATATTTAATAGATAGCATTGAATGCATATACATATCAATACCAGTGCTGTAACAACAAAACAGAACTTGTAAAATTAGCAGCAGTTTTTTGCAAGTACAAAAATACACATTTTATTCAGAACATATATAATAGCAAAATTTAACAGGATATATTATACAAACTCAAAGCATTTAGATAATACATCACTTTAATATATTATATGATGTATGACACAGACAGTGAGATCATCAAGTGCAACCTCAGCAATTTTGCAGATGACATGATGCTGAGAGGTGCAGTTGACACAACAGAAGGACGGGATGCCACCCAGAGGGACCTACACAAGCTCAAGAAGTGGATCCATGGGAATTTCATGAGGTTCAACAAGTCTAAGTGCAAGGTGCTGCACCTTGCCCTGGGTTGGGACAATCCCAGATATGGGCACAGACTGGGAGAAGAACTCCTTAAGGGCAGTCCTGTGGAGAAGACCCTGGGGGTGCTGGTGGATGAGAGGCTGGACATGAGGCGACGATGTGCACTCTCAGCCCAGAAAGCCAGTTATATCCTGGGCTGCATCAAAAGCAGTGTAGCCAGCAGGGCAAGGGAGGGGATTCTGCCTCTACTTTGCTCTGGTGAGACTCCAGCTGGAGTGCTGCATCCAACTCTGGGGTCCCCAGCACAGGAAAGACATGGACCAGTTAGAGGCGTCCACAAGAGGGCCACAAAGAACCTTAGAGGAAAGGAACACCTCTTCTACGAGGAAATGCTGAGAGAGCTGGGGTTCTTAAGCCTGAAGAACAGGCATCTTGAGAAGACCTCACTTCAGCCTTCTGGTACCTTAAGGGGGCTTATAAAAAGGAGGGAGATTATTTTTTTATAAGGGAAGACAGTGACAGGACACGGGGCAATGGTTTTAAATTGAAAGAGGGCAGGTTTAGATTAGATGTTAGGAAAAAACTCTTTCTTATGAGAGTGGGGAAGCACTGGAACAGGTTGTCCCAAGAAGTTGTGGATGCCCCCCATTCCTGGAAGTATTAAAGGCCAGGTTGGATGGGGCTTTGAGAAACCTGATCCAGTGGAAGGTGTTCCTGCCCATGGCAGCAGGGTTGGAACTAGATCTTTAAGGTCTCTTCCAACCCAAACCATTCTATGATTCTATGTTTTAGATGCTGCATAATAAAATTACGTTTGTTCTGCTTGCAATAATACATAATGCCATTTACAGCAATGTTAAGAAAATATCCACAACTTAAACATGAACAGAACAGCCAACAAAGCACAATAAATGAAACACACAGAGTTGCAGGGTGTTAGTTACAAGCTTCTGCATTTCCCTTTACATATTTTTGAGCTTACTTTTGTCTTTCTTTTGCAGTGTGAAAGGAATAACTACACCTATCAAACATACCACATAAACATACAGAAAACAATACACTTACTCCTTGGAGGACAATGAAGGGAAAATTTATCAGTTTCAGAACAGTAGTATAATACCACAGTTATGGAATCTATGCTGACTTTGCACACTACATCAAAAGCACAAAGGACTGGGACTCACATCTTCAAGGCTCAATACTTGACTGGTCAAGGGGAGAGGCCCAGCAGGCACCCTGCTGCCCTGGCAGGGTCAGAGAACAGGGCACTGGCCTTGGTTACCTCCTGGGTCCCTTCCAGATTTTCAGGAGACTTCTGTTTGCTTGCTTTTCAGCAATTTTTATTATTCTTACAATGTTCTTGCAAAGCTTTATGTCGGAACATTACTCAAACAGTTTCCTAAAAAAAAGAAAACTTGTGAGTCTGGGGACTGCTCAATTAAATTTGAACAACCTGGATGTTAAACTTAAAATGAACACACATTAACACCAAAGGCATTTTCTTTATGGTGTTTATTTTAAGCATTAATATTCCTCTGCAAAAAAGCTTTGGTCAGTCTCTTTAAACTTTGGATTGCTGTAATGTTTTTCTAGACTTCCTCTTTGATCATGAAGACTGTCTCTTCCTGTGACTTTCAGAGGCAATGCCTGAATTTTAGGCTTAATCAAATAGCCATCAACTCCATCAGTAGGTTTCAGGGGGGCTGGCCTGCTGGTGGGCTCCACCAAGCCCCTTTCAGCCACAGCGTCAGTAGGTTGTGGAGATGGTGGCACCTTGGTGGGTGTAACCAAACAGTCACCAGCCACAGCAGCAGCAGTAGCATCTTCGTGTTTCTTTAGCAATTGAAAAGTGCTGTCGAAAGGGCAGGAGGTTTCACTTAGGGTAAACAGAGTCTGGTCTGAAAACTGCGAGAAAGCACTGTCCAGAGAGCAAATTGATGACACAGATGGAGATGTCCCAGAAGAAGACTGGCTAGAACAGCTAAATCCTGAGCAAATATTTAATCCCTCTGGTGTTGGAGGCAGGAGACAATGGGACAGGTCTTTCCTTTCAATGTTTTGATTTGTGTTGTCACTTCTACCAACATTAATCCCCATAATCAAGCTCCGATTGCTAAGCTTTTGCCTTTCCATCTGCAATGATCGAAGCTGACAGAGATAGTCTTCATCTTCATGAGATAGGACAACATCACAGCTGGCTTTGCGTGTTGCCTTCTCATGACCATCATCAGTGTGGACAAAACTGGAGGCGAGGAGGGCAACTGCAGGCTCGGAGGAGCGTCTGTGTCTCCTCGAAGTTTTGAGAGCACCTGAGGTAGCGGCTGAGGAGAAACCCAGTGCGCCGGAGCACAGAGATTCATTCTGTGAGTTTTCTTGCGATGAAAACTTCAGGTGCATGCCAACAGAAATTGTCAACTGCTTTGATTTGATCTCGCTTTGGATTTCATCCACCTCTGTCTGCTCCGAATCACCATCACTCAGAGTGAAGACAGACTCCCTGCTCCGGTTATCTTGATCGCGGGTTTTAATCCAGTCACTAGAAGAAGAGTCAGCTTCATCATTCGCCTCATTTTCCAGGCTGTCATAGGAAGAGTCATTCTGATGGAGAGAAGCAACATCTGCAAGGACAAAACCAAGCGTTAACACATCAGTGACTGAACCCCCCTACTGACAAGCAGCTTCCTTTTTTTTTATTTTTTTTGGCAAGTATCCTTTACTTTCAGGAGTATTTGCCCTTTAAAGATTCTTCAAGCAGAAATACCAATAATTTCAGAAAAAATTACTATCTGATTTTGAAATGGAAAAGATCAAGTGAGTGCTAAGCTGCAGTTCAGTCAAGAAATACAGGATAATGGCACAATTAAGGGTTAGGTTTTTTTTTTTGTTGTTGTGGTTTCCTTCATTTGGTTTGGTTTGGTTTGGTTTTTTTAAGTGGTGAACTTTACTAGTACATAATCTAGCTGTAAACAATTATTTACATACATACATACATGTATTTAACGGGTAATTATCGAATTTTTCTTTTCATTATTGAATATTGAAAACAACATTTAACCTTTCTTTCCTTCTTTTAGACAAATGAAGAAAACAGGGCATACTTCATATTTCCATGGTCTTCCAGAAAACAATTTTCTTCCAGAAAATATATTTTTAAGAGCAACATGGTGAGTTTTAGTCTCAGTTTAAACAGGTACCTCATTTCCACTCAGCAGTGCACACCTGGGTCCTAATCTGTATTTGCGATAATTGGAATTACATTAAATCTCTTTTGCTCTGGGCCACTCTAAGCTGACTTATCTCACATTTGCAGCAGACACAGTTCCCACATGGACAGTTACCACACCTCAGTGCATGGCTGAAAACTTGTTCAGCTGTCACAACCTATTGTGGGTCTGAGCTCTCAGTCCCAGCACATCCCAGCACAACAGATCCCATGTGCTTCACTCTTGGGGAGGGGGCAGGCCAAATTTTACTGGATTTCATCAAATCTCACCTGGAGCATGAGGAATTCAGAACAGGCACACTGAGTCAGTCTGGCATGCCAATGCAAGTGCTATTACCACTTTCAGTATAGGCCAGCTGTGACAAAATCTATTTTACAAAAAATGCTGCTTTAGAAACACTTTAAGGAGAGACACAAAACTCCAGTCAAAATTACACAAAGTTGGAGAGAAAAAGAGCACTAAGAATAATCTGGAGAGTTCTGTCAACTAGTCTGTCAGACAATTTCACTCACCAGTTCCATCATTTTTCTGTGCTAGTAGCAAAATCTGGATGTCCCATTGAAATTATGGAGATCTCTCTCTTTTGATAGTGAAGAATAGACACTTTCAATCCTAATATAATGGTGTGACATGACAGCTGCATTATAACCATCGTTGATCATGACTTCATGATATTCTGGAGGCTGAGGCAAAAATTCTAGACTTAAGATGAAGCTTTCTCCAGATTTTTTTCCCTTTTTTTTTTCTTTGTTTCCCCTTCCTCTTTTTTACCTAGTGGCTCAAATGACTGGTACAGGAGCAAGAGATTCTTTGCAAGAGCATTCTGTGATATGGCTCAGGTCTTTGAATCAGTTTTTATGACCAATACTTTGGGCAGAGGAAATAGAACAGCAGTATCTGGAAACACTGCATGAAAAGGGAACAGCATTTTTCCTTGGAATAGACTGATCTTTTGTATGGATAAGTTTAGCTGTCTTAAGGAGATCAAAACATCAATCTGTATTACCTGAGCTGTTCTCTCTACTGCATGTCATCAGTATTTCTCCAAAGAGGGAGGTAATTTCATCTCCAAAAATCCTGCAGCAATTCTCAATGAGGAACTGTACCAGACTGGAAATCTGCAACAAAGGAATGGGAGAGAGACGCCTTGTCAGATCTTCTATTATTGCACTCAGGGCAAGCTCACCATACATATGAGGAACAGGAGCAAACTGTATTCCATGATGGCAGCCAAGAACTATTCTCTCAATCTGCTGGGCCCAGATAAAATGTCCTGGTATACATCATCATATGCACCTTCTCCATTTCTACTCTGTCCTGTTCAGAGGTCACCGCAACACAGAGCTTCTTGATGAGAGAAGCACTTCACTAATACACTGCGTATTGCTTTATGATCTCCCTCCCCCTCTTCCAGATTATGAGAATGGATAGATGAATGTTTCTAGAGCCCTGACAAGAGGACAAGTCCTGATCTGAAGAGGTACTGACTGTTTTCATGTTTGTAACCAACAGCGTGGTTGAACAGGAAGAAGGTTGGTTTGTTTTTTAACTACACTTAAGTGTGTCTTACCTTTTTTATAAATTCACTTTCTATATCAGGAGTGGAGGAAACAGGAGGCCAGAGCAAGCTAGGTGCAATGCAGATAGCCAGATTAAATGCATTCATCTGGTTCTCTTCAGATCTCATTTCTATACCATGCAGCACTCCAAAGATGTAACGTAGGAGAACAACATTAGCTCTGGGAAGCTGCTCTAATAACCTGAAAACATACACAAATGTAATTCTTCAAGTTAGTGACCATTTTCCATAGATACACACAAGTCAAGGTAATGGAATTACAGAAACAGGGTAACATGGTCCACTAATTAAAGCTGGGAGCGTGTCAAAGAGATGTTGTTGCTCAGCTGCTTTCCCTCACTGTGTCTCTGAACAGTTTTCTGGAACAACAGAAAACATCATAACACATAATTAAAATAATGCTCTGTCAAACTAATGAACCAAGTACAACATATGTCATGAAACCTGTCATGTACTTCACCTAAGCTCCCTGATAATTCACTATTCACTTAACCAAAACGTTCAGCTGTCTCTCCATGCCATCTAGTTGCCTTAAGTATATATGTGTGTAAGTATGTGTGAGGTCAGCTAGCATACCAAGCTCTGCTTCCCATGACGTAAACTTTGCCTACTTTCTGTTTTATACCACCTGCAAGAGTAGAGGCTTCCCTTGTCACTCTACTCCAGCATTTACACACAATTCCATCTTGGCTTCAGAATGGTCACTAAAATTTGAGATGAATCAGGGGAAATATATGAGGAACTGATTTCAGCTTCCCTTTCATCCAGGACTCCAAAGTTCCCTGAAGGTGGTTTTGGATTTGATATCAGGAAGAAATTCAGGTCCTGGACAGCGTATTTCCAAATCATATAAGTTGGTTTTGTTTTCTTCATGAAATGATTAATTTATTTACTGGTATCCACAAAAGGCAAAAAAGTGGGACAAAAGAGTCATAAAACTGTCTCATACAGACAATCATTTAAGATTATATATAAGTTTGAATGTTCTGTCATATACACGGAGACTTTCAGCATCTATTTTTAAAAAATTAATTGTAAGTTGAATATTTGCAATTCCGCATTCTGGGATATACATTTATAGGAAAAGAATGCAGAGAATATAAGTATATATTATAATAGTATTATATACTATATCATATAAGCATACCTTTGTATGCTTTTTATCTTCTCTTCAGTATTTCCTTGATCCAGCACAGAGACCCACTTATCACACAGCTGGGATGACAAAATGCTGCCTGGGATGTTGCGAAGAAAATCCTTATCAAGAGAAAAGAATAACAAAACACGTGAACAGCTGTTCTGGAGCATGTGAGGGAGTAGGAGTAAGACATGTAGATAGAAGAGGATGTATCTGTGCAACAGTGCTCGTTGACAAGCATAGTTACACACAGCAACTAAAACCAGAAGAAAATCATCTGAGATACGGAAGTACTTTAGATTATGCTTAAAGTGAATATTTTCTTGCCCTTTCCTTACCCTTTCCTGTCATAATAGAGATATTTGGAAGCTTCATCTGATGTTGCTGAACTAAAAAATCTGCAGTGAGACCAGTTATTTTGATGTTGTATAGTGTCTGTCTTCACTTATCCCTTAACTTCATTCGTAGACCCTGTTTCTTCTCCTTAGCTGACAAGCTCAAATATGTCCAGATTGTAAGCACTGCAAGACATCTCTGTTTTCTCTCCCCTAATCAATCCCTTTTGGTAATGGAGTACTTAAACTAGTCATGAATAGTCATGCTACTCCTCTTTCCTAATACCTCAGCCACTGGCAGCGAAACTGTTGCAGCTTAGGAAGAAGTCCAAATCCTAGCTTTCCAAACAAGCTAGGGTAAGGGAAGCTATGATGCTTTTTTGCACAAGGAATATTGGTTTTTACATAAAAGATTGTAAGAAAAGATAGTGCATAAAAGAAATCCAAATATTAATGGCAACGCTATAAACTCACCATAGTTTATAGTGTAGGGTATTACTGACACGTAAGGAAACAGGTCTGCAAACATGCCTTTTTAGTATTTCATATGCAGAGACAAAGAGAGTAGTAGAACCAAGTTGTAACAGAGACCTCAGAAAAACCGGCAGAAAAACAAGCTGGCTAGTCCTTTTCCTCATCCTAATTCAGTGGTAAACGCATTTGGAGATTCTCACAACATTATTGTGCCAGCCCATTCTTCTTAATTCAGTCCACCAATTCCTTTTTAGGCCTATCCCTGGAGAAAAGCCCTACTTGCTTGTGCATGGGATCTGTGCTGCTCTCACCCAAAAAGGAAGAAAGGAACATTCTTCACATACCTTAAACAAAGATGCTGTCACAAATATGGATTCACAGGCTAGGTCCACTTCAGAGCCTGAATCAAGCTTCTCCTTGAGCTCTCTGAAGGTTTTTGCACTTCCAGAGCGTCTGAAAATACCCTTGGTGGAAGGGCCCTCTTGGTAAAGGAGAGAAAGCATGTCCTGAAAAGAATTAAAAGGCAGACAGGATTTCTTATAAATATATTTTATTGTCCAGTGCCATGAAAATGTAGTTTTGCCACTTCTGCCCCAGCTGAAAACCTTTGAGTCCTAAAACAGCTCAGAAATAAAACACAAGTCAAGGCTAACCCTCCAAACCATGCCAAACTGCACAGCAAAGCTGTGATCTGGGGTTCTCATTTTAGAAAATCTTATAAATACTGTGCTGCCACTGCTGAGCTCTAGCTTCCTGCATGATCTTCCAGGACCCATGCAAGTTTTAGCCAAGTCATTTAAATATATAAACATTGTGGTATGGGAAAAGGAGAGGGGTCTACCTAATTCAAAGCTCTGCATCTGATGGTGGCCTCAGACAGACATCACTTTGCATGAAGATATCAGACCCTCACTGCTCATCATTGTAGTCAATATTATCACTGACCAGAGATAGACTTCTGTTCCATTACTAATGTCTGAAAGAAATTAGATTTTTATCTAAGCTGAAAAGCACTTTGTTAATATCTATCTGCGCTTCTTCAGCAGATCAGAGTCAGGTTTTTACTTCCTTTGCTGCTTGTGAGTGGTATCATACTTTGCAAGCAGCTCAGGGCTGTCAGAGGGATCACCTCTGGGGCAAGGTGTTCCCTCCTGGGAGGTCACCCAGAGAGGGCTAAAGCTCAGCCTTACAGCTATCCTAAAGCCAACGAGGCTGCAAAGGATTAAACAAGTGGGCAGCTTACTACATGAGATACTTAAAAGGAAAGGGAAAACAAGTAGATTCCTGCCTAGCTTTTAAAATAACAGGAGGGACTGATTTCTTCTGCTAAATAAGAGAGGAAAACAAGAAGAAAAGGAAATGCTGAAACTTCTTCTGAGGTAATATGTTTATGATATTTGCCAGATGCTTAGTTCTCTGCAGTGTCCTGTAGGTCATCTCCCTGACATGCTGGTCACCTCTTGCAGGCCTGCTCCAAGTGATACAGAATTTGTCATGTTTCTCTCTTCCAAAGGAGAAACACATGCAGACAGCCCCTGAGATTATGTGTATATACACAGTGGCCTGAGGACCAAGTTATCAAAAGAGACAGCAAGCAAAGGGACACTGGGGTGAGCCCATCATCATAAAACTGAATTATAGAACAGTAATGGCTAAGAAGTGGGGTTTGGGGACTTTCCTAGTCTGGGCTGTAAGGTAGGTCTTCCTGACACACAGCAGTGCAAATAAGTCTAATGGAAACTATTATTTTTACTTTTCCTCTTTAATGTTTCTTTCTCACTCTTGCAGACATTGAAGGCCGAGAATTCATGTAAGTGCAGATGCTTTGGAGAAGCACCTTCATGTCAGCAGGACTCATGTCAGCATTTTCATTTTCTTTGCAGGAATTTAGAACTCTGCCAACAAAACAGGCTGAGTTCCACACCACAGGATATCAGCATGAACAAATGCTTTGAAAATATATTTTGAACAAAATATCCACAAGATAAAAATTGGAAGCCCCTGTTAAACTAGCAAACCCAGACAAAATTACATGAATGAAGCTAATGGTGTAAGACAATTCAACGTGGCCATGGCTAAAAGAGAGCCCTTCAGCTGTGAAAGCAAGCTCTGAAGCAGATATTAAACACGCCTGCTGAATTCATCCCTGGTATTTTCCTTCTCTTGTAGGTAAATCCCACACAGTTCCCTAGTATTCCATTCTCCAGAGATGCTGTATGAATTCAGAAATAAGTTATATTTTGTGGCATAAACACAATGTTTAAGATTCAAAGCATGAAGTTTACCAAGCTATGATTCTATTCTTAGTAACTCTGGGGATTTTTTCAGATAAAAATTTACTAATATTTATGTTTTGGAGAAATTTCTGATATGCAGCATTGGCTCATCTCTTAAACAGAGAGCATGAGGGATCAGGTGATCATATTCTTACAGAGTCTGTCTCTGGAGGGCTTATTTAAATAATCTAAATTATGAAAATACACACTTCTCCTTCAAAAGAAAATAACAAACCCACACTATTAAAAGACCTGAAAAGTCCTAGTATGATTCACTATTCAGGCAGTGATAAAGCAGCACATCAAGCACAAGCTTAGGAGACAAAACATCTCTTCTTGTAAACTGGTGTAACCCCACTGATTTCAGTGGGGTTCTGGCAAATTCTTCCAGCCAAAAGTCAGGCTATTAGGATGAAGGGGGCTCACTCCTACTCTGTAAATACTTAAACTGCTTCATCAACGACAGGGTACCCCTCAGTCCTGACCAAAAATGTCACATATCTGCCTTAATTATGCCTAGGAATGGGCTCTAGGAAACCCTTTTTCATGTTCTTAGGCTGGTTTTGAGAGCACCCACAGCACTAGAGCTCTCTCAAGACAGAAAGAAAAGATGCTTCTGCAGCCTCCAAATTCCCACCTGTTTTTGCAGTGGCGTTATTGGATCAAAAACGAGGACTCAGAGTGCTTGCCTGTCCTGGAATGCCTTCAAGAAAGGCTCTGAAACTGTCTAGTTAGGGGCAGGTGGCATTCTTATGTATGCGTGGGCTGTCTATATGGGACAGTAGATGACATATTTATGGATTTGGGAATTTTATAGAAATCTTGGGAGTGGTTTAAAAAGTATGTGAACGTGGCATTCATTTACACTGCGTAAGTGAGGATTAGGGAACCAGCCTTACAGCATGGGTTATAAAGAAGAAATAGCCCAGAGCAGCAGGCTGATCACATATGTTTCTCAAGCTGTTATTAACTAAGCCTGACCACAGCACATGTTAAAATCTGAAGTTCTTGCTGAGAACCACAAATGAGGTTTCCTTCTGGAAATCTTTCTGGTTTCTTTGCTTCGGTACTTTTAATGTCCCATAAACAAACATGTTCTCATTTACTACACAAAGAAATTCCACCACTGTAAGACCCAATTCTGAGCCTGGGACTCACCAACAGGGGTTTGGGCAGGTTGTCATCCTCACAGATGGTTGTTAGCAAGAGGCCAAAGAGCTTCCCAGGAGCAGCAGATGTTGTGGAGAGGGGTGCATTGTCCAAATGCGTGCCTGGGCCACGCCAAAAAGCCCAATTTATGATAGATCTTTTCCTTTTAAATGACTTTTGGCTTAAGTCTGGGGAAAGAGAAAGGTGTTTATTAGAAGAAATGCATTTCAATTCTAGTTCCAGTATTTGGTTTTTGGTGGTTGCTATGGTTTCAAAGGAAAAAATGTCATGAACTCAACCAACTCCTTGGCATCCAGCTAAGCCTAATCCACCATGAATATATCTGTGCATGCGTGTGTGTGCGTGGAGAATGTGTTGCCTTACTCACATCCTGAAGAGGATACAGGATCTGCCCTGCGCTGCTGGACCACAACATCAGCATTTACCACTAAGTGCAGGAGGGCAGACCTCAGCCTGCTGACATCACACAGAGCTGGACTCTGGTAAATAACTCATTTTCCACCCACACGAGCAAAACCAAAGACCTTCTTCAGAAAAGAAGGTTTCCATCTTGGCTTGCTGACCAGAGGCATCCTAGTGTCCCTGGCAATGCAGGAGAGCACCCACTCCCTCCACAAGTAACACAAGGAATCAGCTAATGGGGTGAGATGTTTTCAGACCATGAAAAGCCACTGCCTTTGCTCTCTTATCTGCAATGCAAGAGTATCACTAGTCTTCTCACTCCAAGCATTTGCCGACCAAGGCCCAAGGACAGTGCCTGCCCTTTAATCAACGTCTTCCAGATGGCATTTCAGCATGCTGCCCACACACTGATGGGCTCCGTTTGTCCTAATTTTAGCATATTTCATGAGATATCGAAAGATCACCACTAATTGAAGCTCTTATTCTCTTATTTGCTGCATATAGAGAAGGAAAAACTGGTATTGGGATACAAAAAGGGTTTTTTCATATGACCTTTCTCAACATCAGACAGTGTAACCTCTTCTTAACAGCATGGGCTACTGCTAAGTGGGGAGGAGATGGGGACTGTTTATGATAGAAATGCTAACTGGGAAAGACTTATTCTGATATTATTTTTCAGTTTCAAGGTGTTTTCAAAGCCAATCAGCATAGATTATTAGCTGGTTCTTCCACCTGGTCAAACATTTTACTTTCTGCTGTTGTGGAGGGCAGAAGCAAGGCTTGTAGAATTAAGGATTGTGGCATAATACCAGGTTTTTCTCTCCAACACTTTATTCTCTCCTACACTTTACTACAATTGGCTTTTCAGCTCAAAGAGTAGTTTTCATTATACGTCATTCCATTCCAGATCATGCTCCTTTTGGGAATGGGTGGAAATCTTTTCATTAGACACTATAGGATGAAAAGTTACAGTTTAATTCAAAATGTGAACATATGAATGTGAAAGCCTGATGAAAAATTCTTTTCATAAAAAACAACAAAGATATACATTTTAAGCAGCCCAAAGCTTCAAGAAGTGTAAGTCTGGCAGTATCTAAGGCTTTACTTGACTCATCATGTTCTGGAGAACATAACTAACCTGTAACTTTCAAAATTACTTTTTTTTTTCTTTCAGATGAGCTGGATATTAGCACACAAATAAGGTTTTCTTCACTTGGAGTTCTAGTCACACAGCAAATACATACTGGTGTTTTTTTCTGTCAACCCTGCAGGTCTCAGGAAGTAAAAATTAAGAAAAGATGCTCTTTTGGACAACAAGGAAAAGCAGAAGTGAATAAAAAAGGAGTCTTAAAATTAGGAACTCTTCTTAGTCTCTTACTGTTTGCTCCCCTCTTAAAAGCCATGTCTCAAACCGACAGTGTGAGCAAAAGGTAATTGTAACTAACTGGCTCTCTCCAGAGACAGGAAGGAAATCTTAACCAGTGCTCTTCAACATACCAAGGCAGAAACCAAAAACTGATGTACAGCAATGAAATGCCATGTCACTTAAAAAACTAACATTCACTGAACAACAGGAAAACTCATCCTTTTAATATCCCCTTTTTAAAAGGCTTGAGAAGTCTTAAGCTAAAGAGTAGATGAGAAGGCGTGGATGTACACTTCCTTTCCTTGAACCTCTGCAAAGCTGCAATACAAGGAGAAGCCCAGGCTCCTCTCAGCCAAGACAGTCATCAATTATTGCTCTGCACAAGTACTTCTGTACAAAAACCTCAGGACCCTGCTCTGGTGGATTATTCAAGGCCAGAATCAGAAGAAAAGCAACACTATTTTGATGGAAAACTTTGCTCAGAGCTCACACCAGCCATCTCTTCTGCTCATATTTTACATGAAGGCAATTCCCATTCATAGGTAGTGTTCCAGTCATGGAAGTGGCATTTCCTCTTCTTGAAACTAATCAGAAACTTCTAAACAAAACTTAAGATCTGTCTAACAGCGTAGCATTCTTTCTGATCAAACCCCTAACTGTCAACAGTTTTCAAAGACCTCCTATCTGTATTAAGACTAATTGGTTGAATCTTTGCTTTCTAACAAACAATTAAATAATAATTTGGATTACAGAGTAGCCACTGGCAGCAGTTGGTTCTTTCAATACTTTAGACATGTGCTCATAAGCATTACTTAATGGCTATGTTTAACTGGAAGGTGACCATTCCTGTTACATGCTGAAAGGCCACACAGGAGAGGTGACAGAAACACTCCAGTTCTTCCACACATTAAATTCTCTGTACTTTTTTAAACCATCCTGCCAGGACAGCTGATGTAACTACACCACCACACAGCTTCTTATTTGACATGACGGCCTAGTGTCAGTCATGTCTGCCTGTCAACACCAACACTGCTGTCTAACCCTGGTGCATACTGGTGCAGCTGGTCAGCTGCTCCTTGCTGCCTCCAGAAGGCACAGCATGTCCAGCATAATGGTATCGATGCAGGGAAGTGATGGGAGGGAGGATAGCACAGCATGTGGCAGTGAAATGTGGGATTACAGATGCCGTTCTCTGTAAATTTGCCCTGTATGTGGCAGTGTGTCTAGTGGTTAACCAAAAACAAACATAGATATTTTGGCTTGCTGATCTGAAGATGAGCCCAAAGCCAGATCATAGCCTTGGCTTGCAGACAGGTACCTTTTGCCATTTTCCAAAACCAAAATAGGTGAGAAGGAGTTAGGAGGAGCACAACAAACAGCGCTGTATGCGAGATAGCCTGCTTTGCAAGCAGTCAGACTACATATCCCTTTAAGAGGTTCTGTCTGATGAAAGAAGGAAAGGTGAAGGGACTAAAAGCCTTCCTCCCATTTAGACCAATCCCTGTGCATGACATGCAGGCTGCCCCAGGCTTCTGCTGCCCCAAGCTAGCCTCACTAGCAGCTTGCACAGCACCGATGACAACACATCTGCGTTAGAACTCTACAGGCCTGATTTGCATTTCTATTTTCTCTTGCCAGTCAACATCAGCTGCCAAAGCAGGGTCTGTAAACCTAATTACACCCCTTTGCTAGATTGCCTCATTCTTGAAACATGCCATGAAGTAATATGTGATACAAATTACTGTGAAGGGGGGGGGGATGAAGGCATGCAGAAAGGAAATTAATATATATAAAATGTAATCAATTTACAGAATAATTTATAATAGACACTAGTATAGTTTACTATATTTAATTTCTAAAAACATTACAAATGGATTCTATTCATATATTGTGGGAGATCTTAGCTACTGAGGAGTGCACAGGGTAACAGTGTACATGTTATTTTTTTATGATACAGTCATCAGTGGTGAAGTAGGGTAGAGTTCCTAATTGAACTGCGCATGCCAGTGTGTTAAGCACAATTAAAACACACCATGGGATGTATCCTTGCCCGAGGTGTAATGTCTCAATCCTGTAAAGATCTCCTTATTTCTTTTATCATGAGCAGTGGTCAGTCATTGTGTCATTGACAACGGAGTGCAAAATAGAGAGCAGGTGCTCATATTTTTGCAGCATCAAGGCCAAAGGCAGAAGAAAATACTACTTTCTTCAATTTGTTCAAAGAGTACTGAAATAAAGAAGTTCTATTTGCTCACCTCATCTAAGTACTCAAGGACACGTCTGGACTTTGCCACTTGAGGGTCCCAGTGAAGTAGGTGTACAGCCCTAAGTACCGTATTGAGATAAAGGATGCTGCCAAATGTTGCATGGGAATTCTGTGCCGAAGTCAAGCCTTGACACCTGAACCGTAAAACCACTCAGCCTTGCTACAGAGCACAGCAAGGGCTGCAGAGAGAAGAGACTTACAAAAAATTGCAGGGGAGAGATTTTGTCTTTCTTTTGCTTGTTTTAGAAGAATCATTTGACAGGCAGCTTGTCAAAATGTAACTTACAAGGATGACACATATACAACAGCACACTGAAATCAGGGAGAGCTACATTGCAGAATCCCTTGTGCAGCTGGAAGGTACAACTGCACGCTCCTCTTCACTTTCCACTACCCCCAGTGCTGGTACATTTGCCGAGCCAGGGAGGAAGCCAGGCTATGAGTGAATGTTGCTGGGGTGAGCGGGGCAACGTACCGTTCAGCTGCTGGCACACGGCCACTTGGCTTGGCTTCAGCACAAACTGGCACTGCAGCTCCTGGGGCAGCTGCTCCGTCAGGAAAGACTCCTGAAGCTGCCTGGGGCAGGCACAGTGCTTTGATCCATGGGGCACAGCATCGCGAATGTGGCTCATTTTAATTCCAAAGGGATATTCATGTCCTGTTCAAAGAGAAATCATAATAATCTGTGTTGGATTGACTGGAGACTTGCAAAACTCCATCTGCCCTGGATGGAAGTAGATTTTGCTTGCTGGCCTGCAGCACTTTCTCTCTCCGTAATCTAAGAATTGACATTTTTCTCCATATTTACACAGGCACAAATCATACACTGGCAGATAGGGAGTTACTGTGTTTGGTGTAGTTAAGCAGATGTAAAAGTAAAATCAGACCTATTACAGCTGTATCACATAAAAGCCCATCAGAAAATACAGATGTTTACTATTTCTACTGCTTTCCTTGTAGCACTGAAAGTTTAGGTATTGATTGCTTGTATCATTCTGGAGAGAAATGAGACTTTGGGAGCAGTCATTTTTGCTAAGCATGCAAAACTCAAAAAAAATCCAGTGTGAAAGTGATCTTCTTTCCTTCTCCATGTTAAGTGCAACAGCCATCAACTCAGTCAAACGAGATACAATTATGGTTCTCATCTGAGGCTGAAACAGGAAGGAAACGTTAATCACAAGGCTAATGCAAATGAGCTACGCTTGGCTTTAACCAGCATCTTTGGGGACTACACAGACACAATTCATTTCTGGAGGAGCTTTCAAAAATGCCACTGGAAAGATGTTTTTCAGACTTCTCTAAAGATCTGGCAGATGAAATATATTAAATATGGATGCAGTGCTAAGACGTTTTAGTTAGTAGTTAGACTTGAGCACTGAGATTGGAAGAGACGTTATTTGAGATTACAGGCAGGATTGAAGCTTTGGCACAGTCAGAACTCTGCTTCTGATGCCTACCTATGATAAAAGCTGGCATTATCTAATAAACCTTTGCATAAATATCAAGAGCAGCATCACTTTCATACTCCAAGGATTCTTCTTTTCCAAGGATTGTAACTTGAATTTGCAGTGAAAGTCAGTCAATTAGAAACGCTTTACCATTTCTGAATTCTCTGGCTCTATGTTTAGAGCTGTGGCTGTGATTTGTTCTGAAGAAGATACACAATAATGGTCAGAAAGCCAAAGTCTGGTATGTTTCAAAGGCTAAACAGTTTGCACTATCTGTAAGGTGCACTTGGTAGACCTTTTATAAATATTCATGTTATCTGACTCCAGCGAAGCATTTGTAACTAAGGCTGCTTTGAGAAGGAATGCTAAGATTTACTGGGGTTAGATCTGCAAGAGGTAAAACCAGAAAATTCGTAAGTTTTTCTTGTTATAATCATCTGCAAACTCATATAGCACAAGTAAAGCTGGGCTTCTACAGGGAAAGGTTCTTAATAATGGGAAGGGATTTTTTCTTAGTGAATCAAGGGCCAAAATCAAATCACTCCATCCAATCACTTTTGAGCTTTGGGTTGGTTCCTGAAGACAAAATGTTTTGAAAACCATTTTAGAAAGAGAATAAGCACTGATTCACTCCTAATCAGAGGGGAGCTGTCAGACAGTACAAAAAACAGAGGATTGAAAAGGACTTCTTGAATCAGTTAACTTGAGTTAACAACAGAACATTTCTCAAAACTCTGCTGAGTTTTACTGAGGAGGGAAGTAAACAATGCTATGGAGGTGTAGGAAGAAGTATGGTAAAGCTGGACAGCCTGGAGGATGATGCCACCAGGAGGGGGTGAGTGGAGAGGCCAACTCTGCAGAAAGACTGGGGCTCATGCAGCAAAACTGGGGCAGAAATAAATGACCTTTTCCAACCTCTTTGTGACAAAAGCTCTTCAAAACAAAGGATCATCATCTGACTAGCTCCCCAAATAGGCAAACTTGTGTGACAGGGAAGTAAGAGAAAAAACAGGAAAAACAAAAGAGGAAACTGCATTTCAGTCTTCTCTGTATTTCTTGCTTCCTTCAGCACTAAAAGCTGAGTGAATATTGAAAAACAAAACAACATCAAGAACTTACCAATAAGAGGGTAAGGAGCATGTTCTCTTCCTGAAATCACCCACAGCTTGTAATCTTTTTCAGAGCCCTTTAAAACCAAAATTAAGAATAAGTTTGCCAGTCATTAAGGACAGGTTCATGTAAGGTTTCTCACAATGTAAGGATAATCTGCACCTTGTCAACAGCATTTACTTTGCAGTGCCTAAGTTTGCCACCAGCAAAGTTTCTGAATTGTGTCTGTCCTGTGCAATCTGGTTATGTGACCAGGATTCAGCTCTGAACATTGAGAGGTGCTGGAGCCCATCATTTCTGAGGGTAAAGGGGGAGGTTTTCCCCAATTCTTTCAGTGTTCCTGAAAGAAGAGGGATGGATGTCTCAGCCCACTCTGCCCTGCAGCACTGAGCAGCACCCAGCACCAAGGAGAGACAGGTCTGATCCCCCAGAAGGATTACAGCTAAGCAGCACAAGGAGGAGGAGGCCTGCTGCAGGGCATGGGGTAGACAGCAGGCAGTTCCTGTGAGCTGAGGTCACCCTTCAGCTCTGTCTTTAGTACCAGGGAAATCACACTCTCTGGGATGTGCTCTGCCACACAGGGACCCCTAAGCCTCACATCTGAGAACTCTGCTCCACCATCTCCCCAGCTTCTCTACATCCCCCTCAAGCAGGAGGAGCTCAGGTTTATGAGCCTGTGACCCATGCTTAAAGGTAGGGTAGGAGAACCTTCACCCAAGTCCTGAGCCCACTCTGATGATGCCAAGGCAAGGATGGCACCCATGGGGCTCCTGGCATTCAACGTTGCCCCAAAATCTCCCTGTAGGGCTGCTGTCAGCCCTTTTGAGCAGCCCTTTTCTGTGGAAGGGCTTGGGAGCACTGGAAGGTGTTTTCAGACTGCCAAGCCCTTTTTAAAATGTACAGTGGAGAGAATAAATTTACATCAAAGGAGACAATTTTCAAAAGACTGAAGAATGTGATCATCTTTGTGAAAAGTTGTGTAAAACCTCTGATTTGAAAGCAAATTCAAAATATTGCCTTTAGCATAAATACAGAAGTCAGTGTTGCAGTTTAATTGAAGAAAGAGAATAATACTTATTTCAGATATGATGGTGAGACAACAGAAGTAAAAGAATGGCATTTAATGTAAACCACACTCAGGACAAAAGGAAATAGCAAGTGGATAAATACACTGCATTAAAAGTAATCTATTTTACCTTAAATTACTTTTCAGTGATACTGCTAAATCAGAATAATTAAAATCTAAAAGTTTTCTGGCTACAAAGGTGGTAAATACCTCGTGACAGTATCTATTTAGCTCTAAAGTTAAATCCTACCTCCTTTTAAACAATTTGCCTACTATCCTGCATTATCTGGACCTTCACCCAGTGTCCCCAAGCCTCTTGAGACTCTTCCTACTTGCTGCATGCACCTGGTGTAATGCTGATACATCCAATAAAGCCTTTGCAGTTTGCTCTCTGACTGACAGAGCTTTTTGGCCCATATTAGCACTGCTGTTAAGTCAGCTAGCAGGGGGTAGAAGGAAAATAAATAGGCTTTGTAGACATCTCTGATGCCTCAGGGCAAGCAGCCAGGAGCAAATAAATACAGCTGAGGAGGACAGGAAAGGGTATTTGCTTTTCCTTTCACACATATATGTGAAAGGGATTGTTGCCATCAAGGGGAAGCAGGGGAAGGGAAAGAGCTGGTAAGTATGGCTTTCAGGAGGCAAACTGTTCATATCCCGACTGCAAATCCTATCCTTTATGGGCTTTATGAGGCCATTTGTCAGTATAAATATGACTGTCCCAGAAAAGTCAGAAAGTGTAATTACAGAGCTGGGAAACCCAAGGCCCTTCCTTCTGCCACACTTGATAATTTGGAACAGATATCAATGCCATTTTGCATGAGCTAGTTGTCATTTTACCAGAGAAACCACAGACGAAAAAACCCTGATGTGTTAAACCAGAGTGAACTCAGCCAAAGTAATAGCCTCATTAATCACATAATATGTGAAATGTAGTTTTTATAATTGCCATTGAAAAGTCATAAAGCTTCTTTCAAGTGGTCCTCTCCGGACTAAAATAAAAAACCTCACATAAGGCAAAGCTTCCTCCCAGTCAGAACAATACTATGAGGGGTTTGGGTGTTTGATTGATACCCAGGCTACAGCTTAATTTATTTAGCTTGTTTGATTTTATCGCTAATCTTATGATATGCCTATAATGAAAAAAGGCCTTATGTTCTAAAGAAGCAGTGAAAAAATATAGTATATTACTTGGGCAAATAATTCTGCAGGCAAGATTTTACATCTTGCAGATGGATTTCCTTCTTTTTCCACTTGAAATAAAAATGTAAAGAGAAGGAAACGGTTGATTGTAATACATACAAAAGAACAATGCTGAAACCTAACCAGCTCCTCCTCCTGCTCATCTCAAAGTATTCTCTTTGAATACTACCATTTTCCTGTTTTTTCTGTACACAAAATGAGGAAGTGCAAATGACACCCATAAAATGGGTAAAAATGAAATACATCACAATAAAGACTTGCAGTTGTAATATAGCACAGTCTCCTGATTTTTCTTGCAGACAATCTGCAATTAAAATCCTAATTTTAACTCACATCTTATCCTTTTCACCTTGCAACCCCCTCCATGAACTCCAGCTTCCTTAATTGAATAGACTACTGGATTCTAAGCTCAGGCCAGAGCCCCAGCCCTGGTGTAAATGGGATGTCTGAGACACAACAAGGTGGGTAGACAGAAATTGCTGTGCCTGAGAAATGCCAAGCTAGCGGAATAGATCCCTGTATTAAAAGCCTGTATAAATTAGGGATAATGGATGTTAGTGAATGCTAATTCTGAGGTTACTCCAACTTTTGCTGTGAATGTCCAGAAGCCGCAGGGAAGCACAAGAGTGGCACTTTGCTCATATTTAACTCTTCACACCCAAGGCTGTGGTAAGGAAAGACTTGATAGATTCTATGCAATGAGACCAACATGTGTATCAAGAGTAAGACATTTAAAAAACTCTTATTACCCAAACAGTAGACTGGCAGGCCAGTTAAAAAGCTGTCATCCAGGATCTTCTATGTGATTACTGGTATTGGTTGGAGCCACATTGTGAAACAGAATAAGGGAGCCAGAATTCTGTCCTTGGCATTGATTCACTATTACACCTGAGGCACTACCTGGTCTGGTTTAGAGCAAAGGAAGCCAGCTGAGGCAGTACTTGATATTGTAGGGATCGTTGCATTTATTTGGTACTACCCTGCATTACCATAAGTCCTGTAAAAGCCTTTTTCCAAAACAGTTTCAGGACATTGCGTGAATTGGGCGCATTCAGATTTCGTGCAATCACTTAGTTACATTCTTGTCTTACATAACTCTCAAGGTCCATGGACATTTAAAGTACCTGATTCAGACACTTGAGAGCAGTGCTTGTACTTGCTATCTGGGGACACAACTGATGATGCGTCTGCACATTTTGAAACCAACTAACAGACAAGTCAGTAGGTTTCCTGTTCACACTGAAGCATGCAAAAGGAGCTCTACCAAACTCTCAGTTCTTGTGTCTAGATGTCTCCTCTTAGGCTTCAGCAAAACAGATTTAAAAGCAACTTGAAACATGACTGATCCCTTACAGGGACGAGAGACCTACTCAAAACTTTTAAAGCACTTGTTAATCTCTGGAGGTCTATATATTAACAAGGCACTTCTGCTGCACTTCAATAACTCTGAATTGCTATCTTAAAGGCTTTAATTAATGTTCATATCCTAAAACTTGGAAATAGTGCAAGGCAAGATCTGACTGTTATAAGAGACTACAAAAAAAGACTCAATAAAACTGGTGTAAGGACTTACATTAATTCCCAGCTGCTGCAGGGCCATCAGAATTACATCGTTTGCTGTATCAACATTGGTTACACTTAGGGTTTTTGACTGTGAACAGAAAAAAGGAGAAGGGGAAAGTGGCATTAAAAATTTGGATTTGCAAAGAGTATCTGAGGTGCAGTAGCTCTGCATAATTCATTGTTGGAAAAATTGAGAATATCCTGTTAAAATTTTACTTATTAAAATAAATTATACTATATAGATAAAGGTCCAGCTGCTTGGGATCAAGGTTTGATTTCCTCTGCTTTGTCACATACTTTCTGTATTTGCTCCCTGCTTCCCTAGCAGCTCCATCAGAAGAGAGAGTGCCATGATTACTGGGGACATGACTTCCACATTAAAATATGCAAAAAGACAGGACTACTAACTGCACTTCAGACACTGCGTAAGGGGAACGCAATGGTTTGATTCATTTAAAAGCACACAAGTTTCCTTTGAAAAAAATTAAACATTTCAGTGAGTTTTTTCAGTGAAATATCAATTGTCAATAATTTCTGTCCTTTTCAACTGAAGTTCTCCCTGGCAAGAAAATACTGTAAACAGGCCATTCATCTCTAGCACCTTTGCTACATTCTATATAGATTTCTCAGAGCTAGATCTGGCTCAGTACCAGAAGCACTTCCTCTTGGTAATCTTTCATCCAATTAAAATGCTACCTCTCCAGCAGCCTCTAGAATCTGCTGATGGGCAGTATGGAAAAGCATGGAGCAGCAGAGATACCACTTTCTAAATAGTTATGGTGACCAGCATGGAGTGCCAAGCTTTGGTTGGTGAAAGTGCTGCTTTCCACAGGGCAGTCTTTCCAGAGCGAGATTTCAGCATCTGCTGCCTGGAATCAGTATTCCTCCAGTACTGCTGTGCAATGCTCTGTACCTCAGCTCCATGGATTGCATCGAACACACTAGGATTAATGACTCTATCCTCAGCCCTGCTGGAATGTGGCAGCACCACTGCCTTCATGTTGCAGAGGCAAAAACAAGTGGTGAACATGTGTCCAGAGTGGTTTTTGCTTGCAGAATCATACCCATGCTGGTCTCACTTCCAAGCTAACAGGCAACTCCCACACACCAAGCACAAGTTACTAAGCCCTGTTGGCTCCACCAACAGCACTACGCAGCTTTTGGATTGCAGCGGGTTCCTGGCCAGACTAAAGCCTTGGCAGAACAAAGGCATGCCCACTGCAACAAACCACCAGGCCTATCTGATGGCCCAAACAAGGGAAGGTGGCAGAGCTGTAATGTAGATGTTCACTGCCAGTCCCAAGACAGTTTGTGATACGCTGATACCTTCTGTAGTATACCAATTTTATGCTGGCCATAAGGTGTTCAGGTGAAACAACCCCCTAACATTTTACATTTAGAAAAGATCTGAGCTGTACATTTGTGTAGGTTCCTGACGGTAACAAGCTGCCATGGCAATTAAAGGAAAGTAGTGAGAATACTCTATATCTTGCTTCAGGACATATCTGAACGCTCATACCATAAAAAATTTAACATTTGCCTGAAGCAATGACATCTGGCTCTCAGGAGTAGGTCAGCACATTTGCATAAGTTTTGCTCTTGGCTAGAATATAATAAAATGGTTTGTGCCTTGTGTTCAGCCTTCCTTACTATCCAAAACCAAAATAGCGGCATCTCCAGCCGCTATAGCAGGAATCACAGTGCAATAAGAACTGTTTGCATCACAGAATTTCTATCTGTTCCTCCTCTGTTTTATTACTGATAATATCCAGACTATAGTGTGTTGTTTCTACGACTGTCAGGATCAGAAGACTATATCTGGCATAGGAGCTAATTACAACTAAGGAGAAAAGGCATTTAAAAAACCCCCAACAAACTCTGGTACAAGATTGCAACCCGAGAGCATGTATGATTTAGAGACTTTTACACCCGAGCAGACCTTGATCTGCAGTCTTGCATTTGAACTTCACAATTTTTGGTACTGTTTATTAATTTTTATCTTAGCCACCTCGCAATTATAGTATTGTTTAATTATTATTTTCTGAAAAAAAGGCAGACTCCTTTATGCTTTCATCTATGCAAATACAGAATTCTAAGTGGAGATTCACCGTTGGGCAAAGACCTCCAATGAAATCTAACTTCTGTCAAAATTTCTCATTCCCTTGCACATGCTCCTTGGAGTTCTGAGATTGAAATACAGATGTTACAAGAAAGAAAAGACAAATGTAGAAGAAGCAAAGGAAGAATGGATGGATTATCACTGAATAGGTAGGGTATCCCTACCTAGTAGGGTATAACTAGGGTATCCCTATGGAATTGGCTACATGCAAGAATTTATTTTAAATTGGTTAATAATTACTTAGTCAAAAAGGTGCAAATCACCCCGTGAATGACCTTTTTTACTATTTATACTTTGCCTATAAATTTACCAGCATCAATTAGTTGATGAAAAACATGCTTAAGGCAATTTCAGGGTGTTCTTACACACTGCTTTCCTGACTTAAGATCGCTATAAACAATAACACGCTGCAGCTTCACAGAATTGAAAGAAGGCAGTTGTGGGTTTAGATAAGATTTACAAGCAAAAAAAGGGTACATTGTGCTGGTATTTCTGAAGATGCTTACGCGTAAGTTCCACTAGAGGTGTTTCTTGGGACTTCACACTGTACAGTCTTTAGTTTGTATGCCAGAACCATTATTTCTTACCAAGCACACTGTCTTTAAAACAGAAGTCATGTATTAATACATTAAACACATGTATTAAAGGGCACAAACATTTCAGGGCTGCATATGCCAAGTCTTTTCAAGGGACTGAATCCTTAAAGGAGATTGCAAACCAAAGGAACCCTTTCAATATCCAGAGGATTTGCAGGTCACTAGCACTCATAGGTGATGTGGATTTAGACCCCTATTTAACTCAAGAGCACTTACATATGCACAAGTTCCCACGTCTTTTGCAATTATCGTCACAGGGATCCTTTTAGGATTGTCTTTTTCCTTCTCTTCTCTTATTCGACTGACAAAACAAGTACAAAACAAGTAAATTTTTAATATTGCAAATATAAATAGCAAGACATATTTAAATAGCAATCAAGCAGTAACTGGATAAGAAGCAGACTGTTTGCAGATGTACTGCAGTAGAAAGATCTCTAAAGAAAAGAAAGCACCCAGCAGCAGTATCTGGAAGGGATGCCAGTTGTGGTCCCCAGTAATGCCCTGTTGTATCGAAGTTCATTGTAGAAATCAGAGTAATCAGCAGAGAAAGTGAACAGAAAAAAATCAAGCTAAAACTACCCATCATTGTGATGCCTCAGTCTACACTAAAAGCTCCTCCTGGAATCAGTTACCTCAGTATAGACTAGTTCAAAGGACTGAACAGGAGAAGAGTGAACTGGAAATCATCCCAGTAAGAATGATTTAAACAATCCAGGAACTCTGAAGAATCAGATCAAGACGGAAACCTCAACCAGAAGAACTGGTGACCAGAAAACAGAACTATCACTAATAGCTTTCTGTCCAGACACTGAATGACGTAAGACAGCTCTATTTAGACAAACCCTCCCACCACACCCTCCAGCTTGGGGTATGTTCTGTAAGACCAAAATATAGCTGGCCATGAGCAGCAGAGAGGTTAGAGCAGAGGTCCTGAGCTGGGCTTGCTTAGCTGCCATCACCATGGAAAGAGCTCCAGGCTCAACTAGAGCAACAGAGGCAGAGGCTTCTGACACTGCATTGGGAAGGAACAATGTGTATTAAGAATTGCTCTGGTTTTGTGCTGAGCAAGGAAAGCAATTCCCTCCTTGCACAGTGATGGATGCATAAAAGGCATGCACCATCTTCTGCAGGGAGAAGATAAGATTTTTCTTTTCCTTAACAGCACTTGGAAAGAGCTCATCTATCATGATGGCATAGGCACCACAGCTTGGGAACCACTGGTCTAGACTGGGACTCTTTTCAATGTCTTTAAAGACAATACAAAAAAAGTACCTTTGCAAAAAAGAGAGCCATGTTTCCTTTTGTTCTGCAGACCTGAAAATTAAAACAAAGCAGGGACAAATCAACCATCATTCTAATACCAAAATAGTCCTCGTACAAACCACAGTGGAATGGACTGTTTCTTGGCTGGAATTTTATAAATACCTACAAAAACTAAAAGATTTATCCAGATTTGAATGAAAAGTCTGCTTCCCTGCAAAGTCAACTGAAAAGCCTGCCCATGAAGACCAAAAGCCCCAGTTACCAGTTTTTGTCACAGAATTCAAAACTTTACCAATGAATTCAGCAGGAAAAGCATTGACTTCTTAAACTAGTGCCCAAATAGAAGAGGAAGGCACTTTAAAATAAGAGGTTAATTCAAAAGTTTAAAGGTATTTCTTCAGGTACACAGACTTCTTTCCACTTTCACTATTCTAATTATCTTCTTATTTGTTAGTTGTTTTGTCAGCACATCACAAAGTACACATAAGCCCGTTGTGCTTAGTAGGGTTTAACTTTGGACATTTTAAGGCTTATCTCATTTATCTTTATCTCATTTATACCCTTTCAAGGATATAAAGCTGTCCAGTTAAATGTAGCTAATAATAGGACTGTTCAAGGAATCTAACCTAATTTTGCATCAACTTTCTTGATTTAAATCCTGTCCCAGATGGAGTAACTGCTATTCCCACTGCTGCTTTTGTAAATCAAGTTCTTCAAATTTTCAGAGAAGGCATTTAGGAACTACAAACCTTCTGAATGATGCTGTGAGGGGAATGCTACAAATGTAAATGCTACAAATATGACTCTGCTTTGGCTATTTCAGTTATGTTGGACAGGCATCTATGGACTCATCCATGGCATTTTAGATTTTTCAGTGTACCTCCAGACATGAAATAATTTCACTGCTATAAAATCTCTGACTCTTTCTTGATTGAGGCTATTGCTTTCCTATTCAACTACTTTCTGATATCTATAAAGGATCACATACTGTCTCTAGATCAAAGCTCATGTTTATTGGCAAGAGTTCAACTGAAAATCAATAGAAAATTTCATCTTTGTTTCAGGGCTATTAAGTGTAAAAAAACATAAACAGCACAACCATCTCAATAGAGTGCAGTTTGTACACAGCATTCTCCTTGGCTAAGGACAATGTGACATAGAAATTAAGCTGGATACTTCAGCTTTTGCTCTCTGTTGATAAAGAAGAAAATGCATTTTCCAAGATTCAGGCAAATTACCGTGGTTAAGCAGCTGGGATTTCAGGGGGATGTGCCCTCCCTCCTCCAAAGTGACGACAGAGCCCTCCTGCTGAGACTAAAATTAGCCTAATCACTCAAATTACCTCTACAGCCCTTATGTGTACTACAGTCAACGCTGTGAAGACAGATGAAAAATCTTTCTATTAAAATTCAGAGACTCTGCCTTAAGAGTAATTTTGACATTTTCTCTGGCACAATTAAATTGAACAGACAAATAGGACAAGGTCAGTATTTCACTGTATGTTTCCTGTTATTTCCAACACATGCTCTTCTGTTTAAAACTGTCTTATGAGAGTCTCTTTGATCCTTTCATTAGCTTGTCTGTTTAATATTTGTAGTTCATCTTATTAATTAGTGAAGGTGTTCATCAAGTTATACAAAAAAAAAAAAAGATAATTTCCACTGAGCAAGTTTGCAGCACAGACAGTGGTTTGCCAAGTTACATATTTTCTCAATTTTTAAAATTATAAGAAAGTACCATTGCCCATTTGCAGGGAGACAGAAGATGAGGTGTGGAGGGTGACTTGCTCACAGTAGTAGAAGGAATTGGTTTAACAATCAGGAAGTTGCTGCGCCCCACATTCACTGGTGTTGAAATGAATCTGTGATAGTCTCATTACCTGCCAGCCTAAAAACATTTAAGTAACTTGGTAAATAAAACATATCTCAATTCTTACCTGAAATTTGCCACACAGTTTGTGGTGGGCCAGCCCAAAACAAAGGACCTCTCTGGGTCTGTGCTGCCTTCACAGACTTCTTCTGTACAAAATGCAGTCCACATCTCACAGAGACGTGCTTGGCACTTTAGTTTGAAATGAGAGTGTGACCTGCAGGCAGAAAATCATAGGTAAGTCACACACATGAAAACATAGCAAGACAGATTAAACAACTAGAGATTTTTCTTCCTTCAGGCACATGTAAAGCTTGCATTGAAGTTGATAGAAGAAACTCTTCTGCTTCAGTTAAAGAAAACAATGTTTTATTGGGTTACATGTAAAAACATATCAATTTCTTATTTGAATGGGATCAACAGACCTCTTATTTGTGGAATAAACAGACTGCTTGTGGCATCCCTGGGAATCACCCTTCTTGGGGGAAAACTTCCATTCATATCTAGAGTTCTCCAAACCTCACCATGAGGCAAAGATTGCCACTTGTACTTGAGTCTCCTTTCAGTGACTTTAATGCTATCGAGGAGTTTATAATACAGTTCTATTGCTTAGCCCCAGGGTCAAAAACTATGATGAGTTTAAGTAGTGACAACTAGGTCAGGGCAAATGAAGCAATCTTGAAGAAAGAACAAGCAGAAAACTGTCATCTGTGTCAACTACAGCACAGGTCACCATACAGCCTCCACGAACTAGCAGCATAGTAGCTTTAGGTCCACATCACTTGGAGAATGAGCCAGAACTTTGTGCATTCTCAAAATATTCACTCATCTATAAGGAAGATACAAAATTTCCCCAATTTTTAAAAATTTGGCCCTTCCTGTGTTTTATCCTACTAAACAATAAGGGTCAAATTTACACAATTTCATATTTTAATTTCAACTCTTTCTTCCACCTAATTTCTCATTATAAGTCTCCTTCCTTTGTAGGATTGGTGAGTGCTAGTGCTATGTGAGAAACAAGTAAAACCTCAAAGTCAGTGCAGCTCTGTAGCACTGCAAAAGCTGCTCACTTCAAGCCTTGCAGTCGGAATTACCTGAGCTATGGTTCTCCTGGGCCAGCAGGGAAAGGCTGGAGGAAAAGTGTTCCCTACCTGAAACCGAGGGGACATGCAAGCAAGAGCATATCAGCTCACCACTGTGTTGCTAACATGATGGGGACAGTGCTAGACACCATGGTGATTAGGGCTCTATAAATAAATATGCCACGTAAGCAGTTTCCTAGAGCTTTGATACACATGGGCTACCTTCTCTCAGATTAGTCTCATTTACAAGGTATTTGACTTAGAACAGACTGAACTAATACAGTCAGAAACACGAAAGTACTTGAACCTTGTGGCTTTCAAGAGGACATAGGTGAACTTGCAGTCAGCTGAACCCTGACTGTCTGAGGTTTCCAGCTGACACCGTACTAACACGTGTGGCGAGATGGTGTGCAGCAATGCTCGCAGTGTTGAGCAAGGAAGGACTGTCAGTGTATATCAAATCTGGTAAAAAGATACACTTCAATTTGATTGTCATAAAATACTATAAAATACCATGTGAAGTTCCTGTATTTTTTAAACTAAAAGCTAAACACCATGTTCAGCTAAACTAAGATCATGGTGTTTCCTGATCAGCTGAACGTTTCACCTCTCTTCACTATATTATGTTCTGCTACCCAATCAAAGTACAGGAGAACGTTTCAGCATGCTTGTTAAAAATTAGTTTATGATGCAACAAGTAAGGTCTGTCAAGAATACAAAACTAACTGTATTCTGACTGACCACAGAATGAACTCTGAAAACGTAGATTTACAAAAAATACAGCTGTGAATTCTAATGTAGATGTTAATAAATGGATGTCTGGTCTTATGCCACCGAATCAATCTGTTGACCCTCCCCTTCTCCCTAACTTTTTTTTCCTATTACCCAGTACAGTGAACACTCTACATGCTGTTTCACTTTTTTAACATTTACAGTTCCTAAAGCCAGATCCCTACAGTGCCAGTAGCAGGTGTCAGCAGGGTATTGGCAGAAGCACAAGGATGTTCTCCAATCATGCTTGATGTATGTTCTTACCCTTTTTGCCATGCCTAGTCACAGCTTTCAGCTATTATCAGTATTCAAGTGGCCTGGTTTCCAGAGGCACTGAAACAGTAGCCTTCATTAACATCTAAAGAGCCTGAAGTATATTTTTATCCCTATCTGCCATGTCCTTTATGCAATCCATGGGTTCTCAGTATTTGTGATAAGTGGGCCTTCTACTTAAGTGCCAGAGCATTACCTCTAAAAATGAATATATCATTGCTGACTAAGGAAGCAGCATGACTGAATGTTTTCAAAATGGCCAGACTAAAATCTAATTAATATTGTATATATTTTTAAGGAAGTCCCCTAGCAAACGCTACTGTAAACATCAGGCAGATCTCAAGTCCACTGAAATCAACAGAAAAATCATGAACACCAATGGTGTCGGTATTGATGCACTCCATGCAGGGCACTTGCAGTTCCTTTTGCTTGCAACTGGATACTTTGCAACCAATAACATATGGAAGATTAACTTCTCACTGGATTTGCTAATCTCCTTAATAGGACCCTCTGACAAAAGCATTAATGGATCTAATGTGAGATTGTTACCATAATTCCATGTATGCACTCAACCATTAATTTCTATGTCCAGACATGTTGGGAAAATAACCTTAAAAGGCATGTGTATATACACAGGTGTATATTACAAAGGAGAAAGAGGAAATCATTTCTCTGTGCCTTCCACACAAAAATTTACGTAAGAAACCTTCATCATGGAATTGACAGATCCTTGAAGTATTTACTCTGCCAAATAAAAACACATGCTCTCTGTAAGAAATCTAATCAATATATAGAAACGCGTATATAATATTTTACATACGTAACTTTGATTTAGTGAGAAAAACTCTTTCAATCAATTCATTTGTGACATAATCTCCATATGAAGGCAGTGAAGGACAGGGTAGCAGAGGAGCACAACATGTGAGTATTATTCTTGTTTTTTATAAGCTGGTATAAGGCACGATCAGAAAACATAACAGTCTACATTTCAGAAATTATTAGAAAGTAGCAAAAAATGAACCTAGATGCCCTTTGTCCAAAGTCATATATGGACCAGTTGTGCAGAGGACTTACCCCTCACGAATTTCCATGGGAGTAATGCCAATTGGCTGTCTTTAAGCAGGAGCTCAGTGCTATACAGTACTTTACTCAGCAAGCTCAGAGAACACAAGATACTTGTTGCTCTCTTTAGGAAAAACTTGTACCTGTTTCCTGATCATACGAAGACTAATTATACATGAGCTCCCTTTGTACAGTTACTGGCTACCTGCAGCTGAGCTGACACGAGCACAACACTGAGCTGTACTGAAGATACTGTAGGGGTTCATATGCCTCAAGCCAAAAAACTACTTAAGACAAAAAGAGTATTACAAAATTTTAGCACCTTCACAAGGAATAATTCTGAAGTTAAGTCAGATTCAACTGCATCATTAAGTCTGTCCTGGTCTGACTGCTTTGACTCTGCACCAGGCTATTAAAAAGTCAATAGCAGTCAACAGTCACGGCCACAGAGCAATACACATGCTCAGATCTTCCTTCTAGGAACCAACACTGGTAAGACAGCTTTCAAAATGCTGATTTTTAAGTAGTATTCATTAGTGACAGCTCTGATGCTTTAATTGCTGACAGAGCAGCTGTAAAAAGAACATCCCAATTAGATCTTCAAAATACATGAAGTAATATCACTCAAAATACTATTTTTACCATTTCTAGCAAAGACTTGCCCCCCTTCCTTTTTCACATGCAAAAGCACAGTTTGTTCTCTTCCATCTTTTTCAAACATTGCAGTCTCTGCTCCACATTAAATCACATGCTGTAAGAGCTATTATTACTCCCTGGGGACCAGGTTTTTGTGCAGTTACACTGAGTAGTGCTTTCCTATGCAAATAGTCCCACTGGGACCCAGTCAAACCTGCAGTAATGTGCAGCTCAGCTTGGGGCTGTAACATAGCTTCTGCTCAGCATGCTGACCAGGGTGGGAGGGATTTATCCCTTCTGACTTCAGTCTTCTACAATTTAGGAGCTAAACTATGGCTGGATAGCCAGTGTATGGAGTGAGAGACCCCCAAGAACCTGACTCTCCTCACCCAGGAGAGGTGAGTTTGCTGCAGTAAGGTGCTGGTTTTGCCTCAGTGACTGTAAGAGGGGCCTAGAAATCTGGGTAAGTTGCAAATAGTTCACGTTTTAAAGCTGAAATCAGATGAGGTGAATTCCACTCTAAACAAGCAACAAACATAAATCAATACAGTAACAATGTTGTTATTGCTACTGCTGGTAGAATAGCAAGATTTCCCCTAAATATCCTTACGTTCACCACCCACCCATAGTAGAACATGTTTTGTGTAAAACATCCTCTGTGTTGTCACACCACATCAAGTGAGGGAGTTCAGCTGGGAGGGTTATGTTTACCATGTGTGATTCAAACAGACATGGCTCAGATTTCTACAGAAAACACAGATTTCTTCTGGCTTTTCCCAGAAGCCCCTGAAACAATTGCTTAAGCGAAATGACACATTGCAAAAGCCCAGGATTCATATTGAGATTGCCCACCCTGTGAAACCACAACACAGTGCCTTACAGAAAGTGAAGCTACATCAGGATTTTTTATTATTATTTCCCCATAACCCATAACAACAAGTGAAAGCACCCTCTAAAACTGCCTTAAACCACAAATGCTGCATGAAGCTGGCATGCTAGACACAGCTTGTAAATGTGACTTAATTGTGAATGGTAGAGTGAATAATCAGAGCTCAGCAGCAAGCCTGATTACACATGAACACTACCCAGACTGCCCAGCATCGCCTCCCCTTCCCCATGCACAGGACAAACTGCAGAGACATACACTGTAATGCCATCTGCAATCTCTGTTTTCTTACAGCTGCTCATCACTGGTGTGTATCCGAAGCAGCTTCCAGGTAAGGGTTAAGACCTCTAACCCCACCAATGGTGTTATGCACATCCCATGGGACTGAAGATGCCCTGTCTAAAACATGACAAGTTGAAGGTAGCACAATGGACATAGCTGAGCACCAGTGAGTCTTTTCTGTGACGGTGCACTCCCAGAGCAGAGAAGATTACTCAATGCAAGCAATACATCAAAGAACATCTGATACTTCCTTAAAATGTTGCATCCTGGAATTCCTCTATGGCTACGGGCCATACTCACTTGGACTTGGCAACAACCAGAATGTCTGTGAAGAGAAAAAGGTGTCGCTCCTGGGTTTGCAGACTTGTCTTCAGCTGCACATGGCCATCCAGGATGAACGTTCGGTTGTGACATATGAAAGACTGCACAAGAGGCCATGCCTCCGGGCTGATGGGGGACAAGCAGCCTTCCCTGAAAAAGGAAATGAAATAAATGGGATAAAGAAAATCAAATCAGCCAGTTGCCCGTAAATTGAGAACCAGGCAGTGAATTCCCATATCTGCTGCCAAAAGGCAATTTATTTGACCACATTTCAGTGAAAGGTGAAAGGGACTAAGAGGATAATTCAGCAGTCAGATTCTGACAGAAAATCTATTAGGGACTGTCTTCACTGAATCTTTTACAGCCTAACCACATCTAGCATTTAGCAAGGGACAATAATTTAGACATTTGTATTGAAGTCTTAGACAAAATACTTCACCTTCTGTAGGCTCTCCAAAAAGAGAGGAGACATATGCATGATGAACAGATAACTGCACAACCACCTTGCTCAGAATAGGACTCATATTCAGGGTTAAAAGTGATTTATAGAAAGTATTCCAACTAAGGACAAACACAAGGTGTAATCGAACCTTGCTAGAGATAGACCATGTACTACATGCAATATGAGATAAGGCTGCTCGGCCTTTCTCTCTCCCAGTATAAAATCCACAAACATTGAAGTAAGCTCCTGTTGCAGGTTTTGGTTGTGTGACCAGAGCTATGCTTGTCTAAGGCTGCTGGGTAATCCAAACCCAAGTCTATAGGGAAAAAAATCAGACTGTCTCCTGGAAGACACTGATCTTTTCTAAGGAGGTATTGCAGAGTTTATAGCCCAAGGTGGAGACATGATTCTCTCAACCCCTTCTGTTCTCCATAAAGAAGTGGAATAGTTATTGAAGCAGAAATAGAGTTTCCCTAGCATGATGGTCAGCTCACACACCCAAACGGGATATCCCTCATTTCTGAGTCTGGCTCTAACAAATGACTATTTATATGGAGCTGAACCGAATGAATGTGAGGGTCTGAGAGGATGACACTCCTTCTCTAGGGCTCACTAGATGCTTGTTGCAGGTCAGGCTCTCCCTTTCAAAGCCAGAGACACGGTTTCCAATTCTTACAGAAAAGTGCAAGAACTGAACCTGGGTCTCCTACACTCCGGTGGACCTTAAATAATGAATTTCTGGATTAAAACCAGGACCCATCAGTATCTTTACTCATGATTTTAAAATCCAGCTTTCCAGTTATTTGCTCTCCCTAGAGATGCCTCCAAGTCAACTATTTCCCTTTGGTAAAATGGATCAGTTCCATTTTTATTAAAATGTATTATTTTTTCTTTTTTTAAAAAAAAATAAGCTAACACTTGGCGGGATCAGCTTGGCAAGGACAGGCTGCAGTGAACAGCTTTGCAATTCTAGTTTATTCCTCGCCCCATTGGAATGAATGACAAACACCTAATGACTGCTGGGAGAAGAAATGGAGCTCATACAGTGAAAGTCACAAAACTAAATAGGAGGGAAATGAAAGAAAACAAGAGTGAGCAGAGAAAACCTTCAAGGAAGGTCATAAACCTTCTTGTACCTCTCTTAGAGCCTAGATGACCCACAACCCTCCTCTCCTTGATACTTGTGGCTGGATTATGAAGGATATTATTTAGGAAAACCTGACAGCTGGGAGAGAAAGGATAAGCTCCTAGACTGGCCTACATTAGCAGGACACACTTTCACTGATGTGTAAGGAGCTGGTGAGGATCTCTGCCTGCTGGGGAGAGCCTTGCATTCCCCTTTCTGGCTGGGAATCTGAATTTTTGAAAGAATTCCTCAACTTATTTTGTCTTAAACTATGTCTTAATCATGTCTTTCATTACATACCCCTTCAGGGGAGAGAGAAAGAAGCAGAAGGGATGTTTAGGAGTGTGGAGGTTAAAGCAGAGAAAGGAGTTTTGGAAAGGAGCATGTATCACTGTACAACAGTGATATATGCTGTGTGGCCAGCAACAGGAATTAGGGGAACAACAAGCACCTCTTCTACCCTTCCACTTCCATGGGATGGGAATTTGCCAATTCACCAGTTCACTGGTGAGTGTTAGGCAACCGGGACTCCATTTCATTAACTCCTTAGCAGGACTTGGCCCAGAAACTTAAGCAGAAATCAGGAATGATGATGAATTGACCTGCGTGAAAGCCATCCATGGTCCTTACCTCAAAGATTAAGGCAGTGATATAGTCACTTGTATTTGAACCCAGTACCAACAACAGCTAGGAAAGCCCTCTCCATGTTACACTGCTGTAACCAAGTTAGCAGAAGCACTCTTAAAATCATAGGGTCAGGTTTTGCTGTCTCCATATACGCAACTCTGTTTGATTATTCCTGTTTGTGTATTTTCTACATCCTGATTTGTAAGCCCAGGAACCTCTCAAATTAAACTAAGCAAAATCTTTTTCATATAGGTATGCAAATGAAGGTGTAGTAGGTTTAGTAATGCCAGTAGGGTCAAGCAAACTGAACTGCATTTTGACCCAGTGCCTTTTAAGCACATCTGTCATCTGAACTCTAAAGCACTCTTACATACTCTAATATTAGGGTTTACCTGATAAGCCTTATTTAAAAAAAAAATAATTTTCTTCCCCAGAAACAAAGTGGAAAAAAAAATCAAAGCCATTAATTCATCCAGAATCTTTTAAGGCCTCAGGAACAAGAAACATGGAGGAAATTCATGTCAGCAGTGCCAAAAATGTTGTTTGGAAAGCATGCTTTTGATCCTCTCAATTAATGTTCCATTGTTACAAGACATGAATGAAACCAAGTATTGTTACATTGAAGAAAATGCAGATCAGCAATATCCTTGGGCATGTGAGAGAGAGGTATTTCTGCAGTTCAGTTTTTACTGGCTCAATGATTTTTCTGGCCACTAAACGAGTCTAGTTTTGCAAAAGTGCTAAGTACACAAATACTGATTCTTTGAAAATTCCTTTTAACAGAGTTAGGCAAAACTCTGTACTTAAGTCAATGTGATTTGTGATATAATTAAAAAATAAGTCAGTGATACAGGGCTCTCTCTGCCTTCGCTATATTTCCCTAAAAGTCACTTTATGATTAACACATGTAAAAATCCCACAAAGTAACATCTTTCCAGTTTGGTAGGAAAAAAAGCCATCACTCAGGTTTGTTAAGAAGGAACTGTAAACTGATTCCTGAATAATGGGGATAGACAGGGATCCTGCACAGCCAGCAATCAGTCATGTTCCATTTTGTGTAGAAGCAAGGCTGACACTGATGTTTTGATGGCATTGCCATTGTAAAATGCTAGTCTTAAGTGGACAGTTTTTCCTAAAATACTATTTTGGAAGACTGAAATTGTTATGTGGGATTTTAACTAAGGAGAAACTCTTGTAGTTTGAGGATATCTACAAAATATTCTTGACTTATTCAGAAAAAAAATAAAATCACTGTACTGGCTAAAATTAGTGTAAAGATAATTGAAGATTTCTCTCCTGGCTTTTCCAGAAGGAAAATTTTTGCACCTGTTATTTTTCAAATTAATCAAAATAGACATTTTGTGCCTATTCAAAAGACACTATGATTTAAAAGAACTCTTCAGTTTTGTAGGTGAAATATATGAAATTGAATTCCACACTAGTCAGCCAAACACTGAAAACCACATTCCAGCTGCATTCAGTGTGAAAGCAAACACATCAATGCTCACTTCATCGATCCTGTATTTACCAAAAGCCATAAAGCACAAAAATTACTTCTTTTTTTCCCCTGCAGAGCTTCCTTGGGGTTTCCAATAAAACTGATACCTAAACAGCATGACCTACAAAATGTTTATTCTTGGTGTTAATGGAGATGTCAGCTTTATTATCTGTTTGTAGTGAAAACAATGAAAGAAATCATACTTTCCTAAGGAGAGTTTAACAGCCCACATTAAGTGGTTACTAAATCCATGATCCAAATGTCATTTATGCCAATGGGAAGCTTTCCCCTGATTTCAGTTGATGATTACTTCAGCCTATCTATGATTTAGATTAAGCTATAAGATGCCTCAAGGGAACAATCTGTTCCGAGGTGGCTCAGCTGGAATGAGCTATTGCAGGTATCTCGGCTGTAAGACATCCCTCTCAGAGACTGCTCATGCTCCATCCTAAACCTCACTCCATTGTTTTTATTTATTGTTCTGTACCAGAACTTCTCTCCGCTGATGATATCACTGCAGTGACAGAAGTCGATTTCCTCTTATGACGCAGCACCAACACTCTCCCCATGACTGATACCTATTGAAATAAAATGCCATTTTGCTTTTTAACCTCTGAAGTCCTTCACAAGAGGTAGGTGAGAAATCCACCTTTTCAGTAGCAGAGTAGTAAAATGGCAGCTATTCAAAAGGCTGAAACCTGAGTCAGCCCAGCCACGTGAGAGGCTGCACTTGGTCTGTCAAACACACATACATAATACCTTTCAAATTCCTCCTACAGTGAACAACATAGCCTTTATTAATTTCACACATGTGTTCTGTAAGCAAAACTACTGCGTGCCTCCAGCTGTGCTGAAGCCTGAGTAAGGGCAGAAGCTCTTTCCAATTTTCACAGAATCAATCATAGAATCATAGAATATCCTGAGTTGAAAGGGACTCAGGAGGATAATCAAATCATAGAGTCATAGAATAGTTTGGGTTGGAATTGACCTTTAAAGGCCATCTAGTCCCATCCCCCTACAATGAGCAGGGACATCTTCAAGCACATCAGATTGCTCAGAGCACTGACCAACCTGACCTTGAATCTTTCCAAGCATGGGGCTCTTAACACCTCTCAAGGCAACCTTTCTTATACGCCACCTTTAGGTACTGCTCTAAGGTCTTCCGGGAGCTTTCTCTTCTCCATGCTGAACAGTTCCAATTCTCTCAGCCTTTCCTCACAGGAGAGGTGTTTCAGTCTAATCATCTTCATGGCTCTCCTCTGGACCCAGTCCAACAGGTTTGTGTGCTTTCTGTACAGAGGACCCCAGAGCTGGACACAGAACTTCATGTGGAGTCTCACCAGAGGAGAGTAGAGGGGCAGAATCACCTCCCTCGACATGCTGGCCACACTACTGTGTCCCCCAGGACACAGTTGGTCCTCCTGGTTCCCAGGGCACTGCTGACTCATATCCAACTT